ATCATGCGGTACGACTTAACATCCTTATAACAAAAAAAAAAATTAAATAAAATATTAAATTTGTTCGGAACACAAAATTTATTACTTACAAATTACATGTTAGCTACACTCACATTTAAAATAGTTGAGGATCCGTAAAATACTATATATTTCAGAGGGTTTAATGTATATTCATCATAAGTAAATTAGGGAAAGAACCTCTTATGAAGCAATAGTAACTTATAAATTAATACCCAGAGAATTTTTCAGAACAACAGATTCAATTAAATTCATCAAATTGGGCTGTTCTTTTGTTTAATCGTATTTGAAAAAAGTTTATAATTTTTAAATATGATCAAATTTAGAGTTTTAAACATTCTATTAGATTCACTGACTAGTTTAAAAGTAACAACTTCCTTAACACTATTGTTATAAATTAAATTAAATATGCATAAATATGTATGTATTTCCATACACCTTTTAAAACTTAATTTAGAATCTCATATAAGAATCTGAATTCTATGAATTGTAACAATCGGTTTTGATACCTTTACGAATTAAAAACAATTTTTTCTTTGTATCATAATTTTGTTCCTCTTGTTTAATTTTAAATATCCTGTATAACTTAATGATCATTCAATGTAAAATAAACGTTTGTGATCCAAAGAAGTAAATTATAAAAATTAAATACAACCGACCGGTATCAGTTTAGCGCTAAATATTCATACGTAGTTAAATATCTTTGAGGTTAAACCAGTCGTTTTAAAAACTAGAAAAAATCAAATGAATACAGTAGTCGTAGCCCATCGTATACAAAAATCAGACAAATGAAAAAAAATATACAAAATAAAAAAAAAAAATCATATTGATAAACAACAATAAACCCGTTTTAAAATAAAGTTGAAGTGGAAAATCCAAGCTTTTTGCAAAATGCACTTGTTGTTTTTTCTTCATAAATATTAAACATGTGTTTGCATATGTATGTAAAAATGTATCTGTATCTATGAGTTTTTAGTTAAGAGAGCTAAATAAAAAATTATTACGTAGAATGAAAAGAGATATTATTATAGCATGTATGTACGTACTTATATACATATATATAAAAGCACTAAATGCTCACCGAAATAGAGTTTCCATCGTAAAATAATTCTCCAAAAATTGTAGTATAATATTCTCTGGGGAAAGTTTTGTGGTCATTATACCGTTTAGATATTTGGCAGCTTTCAGTGTACCATATCGAAATATGTTTTATTTATTTATTCGCATTATTTAATTAAAATGACTGGAGTTTATAGTAAATAGTCCGATATTAAGACAAGTATGAAAGTATACTCGGGCATGGCCGACCATATAATACCCTACACCATGGGTATATATTAAAAATTTTTATTTTTCATAAAGAAACTTTTATGTTGAATTTTACCTTAATTCCAAAGTATTTAAGCAATTTATTGATAAAAAACAAATTTTCTAAATGAGGCTTTATATAGGAGTATAGGTCAAACATGGACCGATCCTCATTAAATTTGGGAAAAGGATATATTTTTAAATAACAGTTAGTTATGTTGAGTTTCATAGCGATACAAATGGTTACAAGTCAATTTTAGACGTTTAAGAAATTTTTTGAAGGGGGTTTTGATGGGGGCAAGGGTCAAATAAAGGAGGATCATTACGAAAATCTGCAGTGTTATTTATACGTATATAAAACTGATTTGTGCCAATTTTTGAAGAGATAATAGCATACGGTTGTGTGGGGGCTAGGTGAAATAATGGACCGATTTCAACCATTTTCAATACACAGAAATAATTATCAGTAGTTTATTTTCAATTAAAATGTTTTTCTCTTTCTTTAATTTTAATTTAAGCAATTTTTTATTTGTCTTAATTATCTCGTTGTTTAAAACCTAAGTTAACAAACTGGATTAAATTTTTAATTGATTCAATTAGTTTTTTAATTGATTGAAAAAAATTTTCTGGCCAACTTTTCTGTTTTAGTTTTTTTGAAATATTTTATTTTGATTTCTGATGCTAACAATGTTTATAATTCTTAAATAGTCAATAAGATTTTAGGCATATATTACTCAAGTTTCTTGACAATTTATAAAACACATTATATGTTCAAATTTGATAATAAAGTGATATGTTTTGTAAATACTCAACGCATTATTAAAGGTCAAGCATTTCTTTAACATTGTGAGTAATCAATTAATAATTTGATTATTTTAATCATCAACTTAATTGGTTTTTAATACATTTTCTACCAAACAAACTAATTCATTTGATTAATAAATTAATAAAAATTAGATTTTATTTTTATTAAATATTTAATTTATACAATTAATGAATTAATCAATTTTAAATTTTGTCTCAATTATTGATATTAATTGTTTTGATTAATTCGTTATTTGAAAAAAAAGTATTTTTTTAATATTTTTACAAATTTGATAATTGATATCATCATTTTGGTGATAGGTGCAAAACTTGCTTGATACAATTGTTTTGATAATTGAAACATATTTTTAGTTTTTTCTGTGTAGGCTTCGTCCATGTATGAAAAAACAAGTTTGGTCCAAATTTCATTTTACTATCTAAAAAATGGACAGCCACCCATACAGACGGACGGACATGTCTTAATAGGCTCAAAAAGTGATTCTAAATCGATCGGTATACTTTAAGGTGGGTGTAGGACCAATATTTTTGTGTGTTACAAAGCTTCGAATTTCAAGTGCAACTTAGAATATCTAGTGACATTTTGAGTTTTCAGGGAATTCTAACTAGAAATGCGAATTTGTAGTGAAATTTCTAAAGAAATTTTAATTTTAGTGAAGTATCGCGTTTCTTTTAAAATAACGAATTCCTAATGATATTCCAGAGAATTTAAAAAATATTTTTAGTAAAAATTCGAAGTAAAATTTAGAATTTCTGATGACATTTCGAATTTTTGGTAAGCTTTTGAATTTTTAGAAATTTCGAATTTCAGATGAAATTTCAAATTTCTGGTGAAATTTCGAATTTCAAGTGAAATTTCAAATTTCAAGTGAAATTTCAAATTTCTGATGAAATTTCGAATTTTTTGGAAAAATTTGAATTTCTTTTGAGATGGCAAGTATTCTTTGAAATTCTAAAATGAAAAAAAAGTAAAATTTTGATTTCTAGTGCAAACTTTAATTTCTAGTGTATAGTGAAAACAAATTCCAAATTTCAACTGAAATATCAAATTGTGAATTTTTAGTGAAATTAAAAACTTCTTGTGAAATCTCAAAATCAAGTGAAACTGTGAATATCTAGTGAAATGTAAATTTTTAGCGAGATTACGAATATCTATTGAAACTGCAAACTTCAGGTGATATTTGAATATTTAATTTAATATAGTCCATGTGAACATTTGGTTAATAAATTGGCGGACTAGTAATAGAGGGTGTGGTACCTCCCATATGAACTAAATATTAAAATGAGTTTATCTGGGAAACTACATATTAGAGCAAGAATTATCAAATTTTGCACGAAGAACTTTGACATTTAGGGAATTCAAATATTTCATAGGTTCCATTAAAATCCAAAAATCCACGTTTAGAACAAATTGGCGATCATGCAAAAGTAAATTCAAAACAATTTATATCATGGGAAACTACATATTAGAGCTAGATTCTTCAAAAATCGTAAAGTGAGTTTTTTATAGTTTACAACAATAGCTATCAATATAAATAAATGCACCGATGCAGTATACATACATACATATAAATAGTCTAAAAAATTTGTTACCGAGGATAACAGAGTCTTCCAAATATTCCTATCACAAATAGTTAACTTTTTTTAATGGTTGAATATGAAATTGGTGGTTGAATATTAAATCGGCGACCTAGATTATCGATAAGTTAGAAGTATTGATCTCACTATACATATATTAAAAAAAGAAAAACAAGTACGAGTGTTAATTTTTATATCTCGAACCGGAGGCACACAACCTAATGACATGCAATGACATGCATGCATACATACACATAGGCGAAGGGTATAATAACATAACATAACATAACATAAACCAATACAACAAAATATTTCTATTATTTCCGTAATGTTTTTCACGGGAATTCCTGGTATAAAAGCAGACTTGATCACCATTTTTATGAAATTTATAAATTAACATTTGAAAAAATGCCAAACATACCGATACAAATGATGTCAAAATTTAATATACAAAATAGTGCTCAAACATTTGCCAATTACAGCTAGCTACGCATAAATTAAAAAAATCTTTTTATGTATATATATGTACATTAGGGTGCCTCCATTTGTATGGAGAAAACAATAAAGTAATGTAATGTTTATTCCGAAAATGAAGTCTTGGTTCACACCACGCGTTCTACGCTTTCTCGCATTCTGCCAAAAACGTAAAATCAATGTATTTGTATGATGCATGTTATAAGTACGAAAGCTTAGGATGTCTTGACGCGTAGAATGCTTAAAGTAGATCTACTTTCTACTTTTATAAGTGTCATAATTCTCTATTGTTATTCTATTGGGCCAAAATTTTACACCAGTTAGTTTTAGACACTAATGAACAAAATGAGACCCATCCAATAAAAATTCATATTTTTTTGGGCACCTCTTATGTACACTTACATCAAAATATTTTGATGTAGTGTATTTTCAAATTAAATTGATTTGTAGTTTGTAACGCAAAGTTCAAAGGGTATTTAATTTGTCACTGTAGTTTACCTTTTCATGGAATTGCCCATATACAAATTTTTTAATTTATCATTTTATAGCAAACAGCTCAAACAAACTTACTTTCTCCGAAGTTTAATTTTTTAAACAAATTTCATATTGAGACAAATAAAAACCAGTTTAAATGAAAAGCTTAAAACTATTTAATTTTATTAACAAAATATTTAATACATGTCTCCATATTTACTAATATAAATATGTAGGATTGTAAATGGTTGTACATATGTAAATAGTATATAACAAAATGAAAAATAAACAAATCCACATTAAGTCTAGTTATTTGTAGTTTAAATTTACATATTCCCCTCCCAAGGATATGGCATTCCCAGTTCGGTGCCGCACTTTGGATTGTCATCCATGCTGCAGGGATAAAAGTGTGGCCAGTTCTTAATTATACGATATACATTGGCGCCCGGACTCTTTGATTGCTTTGTCTAAAGAAAGATAAAGATAGAATTTAGTTACAGTTATTTTATTGTTATTTTAATTAAAAAAATAAATAAAGATTAGAAGTTTTACCTGATTTTGAGCCACCAATTTGTAATTTAAATCAATATATTTGTTGGTAGAAGCATGTGCCAATAAATATTGTGTGGCTTCGATTTGTTTGTCGTTTGGTTGGTAACGTCCAAAGTCACCCATAAATGTGATGGCCAACGAATTGTTAGCGTATGTGTTTGCCCAATTCCAACCACGTCCAACATAGACATAACCATCCGAACCCACCTGCGAAATGTACAAGTAAATTTGCAAATACACATAAACACACTTAAAGATAGATTGATCATTTTAAATTGATTAGTTGAATTATACATAAAATGAATTATTGACATTGAAAGTTCAATAACTATTATAATTCGTACTAATTTGCGTTTATATATACATGTACATAAACTACATATATTTCTTACTCACGTAGAAATTTGATTGTATGTCGGGAAGACCTTTTTCGGCAATTGCTGAATCTTGTATTGTGCGCATTTTAATTGAGCACTTATATATTGTATAACAGGGTGTTGACTGAACTCCAATGTGGGTTATCATCACGTATGGAATGGGATGTTTCAAGGGTATTGTCAGTTTATTCGCCAACTCTGAAGCTCCCCATTGCAAGCGATCAACTACTAGATGACCATTTCCTAAATTTGGAACTGAGATACTTGAAAATTCAAATCGAATCACATCTAAAGAAAAGAAAACCGAAAAAATTCTCGGCCAACTTACATGTATCGTGCTCATAAGTGTTTCCAAAATATATGGGTCCCCTCGGCAGATGAGGTGTTTTTTCTCGTGTTACCTCAACATAGATTATTATGCCAGCTACGATTAAGACCAGAGCAATAAGTACCGAAAGTAATTTCGATGTGGTTGTGAGTCTTTGTGAAAATGATGCTGTATTAGTCGTTCTTGTTTGATTGATTCCTTGAAAGAGTTTAAAGGCAAATGTAAAAGTCAGTTGTTAGAAATAATTTTGTTTCCTACAAATGGGAAGATATAATTTATAGATTTTATATACCCACCATAATGGTGGATAGTTTCCCTACATATCGATTTTGGTCAATCATATCTGAACATAAAAGTTGGAAGAGCTTTACTACGAAAGTGCTGTTTTCATATATACAAATTTGTACTAAAAATAAATATATCACAATTGGGAGAATTCATTTAAAAACGGACAGAAAACTGTTATTTTCGGATTTGACATCTTTGATTTCAAACTTACTTCAAATATTATGTTTTGAAAGAGTTCTTTATATCAATTATCTCAGTCCAAAAATATAGCGATTTGAAAATTGAAAAATATGCTACAATTTCCTAAAACTATTTAAAATCCGAAATAAATTTTAATTTAATTTTAAAGCCAAAGATATTGCCTTTAAAATGGTGCAAATAAAATAGATCAGACATCCCCGCCTTAAAAATTATAAAAGGATAAAATATGAGCACACCTTAACTCTCTTCGATATTCTAGTGAACATTCGTTTAGTTCAGGAGTTATTACCCATTACGTAATTTAAAGCATTTTTTTATAAATAATCACTATATTATAGAAGAGAGTTTAGGTATCCTTTATAATTTTTAACACAGGGCTGTCTGATCTATTTTTCATTGAACTATACACAATGAAAATTTACCTTTAACCTATTAGAAGTAATATAGTTTATTCACTCGATTTTATAGACAATATTTTTGGCTTTTAACTTTTAGGAAATTAAAAAAAAATCAATTTTCGAATCGCGATATTTTTACATTGGAATGAGTTTTCATTAATTTTTATTTGATATGAGGAACATATTATATGTTTTATACATCTCAAAATATGATGAATTTCATCAAAATTTGAGATGACAAATCCGACTGTTGTCCGCATTCATATGGATTCACCCAATTGAAACTTTTATAATTCAGTACCTAAAAAACCATTGGTTGAATGTTTCTGCCTGTTCCTCTAAATGCGAACGAAAATTTCTTTTTCATTTTATATTGGAAACAGTAATAATTTTTCCAATTTATTTGTTGTTTCCAATATAAAACTAAAAAACTTGTTCGTTCGCATTCACGGGAACAAGCTCTTAATGAATTATTTTAATACAGGATTTCTATAATTACGACTAGTCACTAGTAATATGAAATTTTTTAATATATATAAATCACTACACCTTCAAATAGCTTGTAGTCATTCATAAATTTAAAATAGAAAATTGTTTGCAATATTATATATTAATATTGGAAACAAATTGAAGTTGATTATTTATATTAGAGCTGGTTGAAACCGTGGTATAATTTTAATGGAATTTGTTGGGTATAATCTTCAGATTGTGTATATTATGTGGAGTAATTGTTTTCAAATTACACTATACAACAAATTTTGGGTTTTGGAACCCTTCCCGAAAAAGATCAATGGGAAATGCAAGAAGACAATTAATAGACCCAATTCCCCAAAGGGTTTTAAAAAGTTATCTCGTGTTGTTAATTTATAGGCATTTTAAACTTAGTTTTCTTCAGGAAAATTTTTTTATATGTAATATCAAAAAATTTTGATCATGATCCTCTCTGATTTTCGTGGAATTTGGTACACACATTCCTTTCATACATACAAAATTTAAAGTTCTCAAAAATTTTCAAATTGGTACGGTTTTGATTTTATCGAGGTTCAAAGTTCATATTTCTAAGATTTTTTACTAAAAAGCATTAAATTTGATATTGTATATATTCTAACATACATATTTATCCAATTTTAATCATTTTAGACTGTATTTAATGCCTATGTGTTGTTTGTCTATACTTTATTTGAAATATTATGGTTTTTAAATAAGAATAATGATATCAAAAAATGTTCTTGAGTCAAGGACATCTTAAAAACGGTATCTCCAATTTTCATTGTTCCTTTACTAAAATTAGTTTATAATATATACATACTAGCTATATCCAGTGTGCTTTGCTACCATAAAACCCACTTAACGATTTTGAAGATTCTAACCACAATAGTTTTCCAGATTTATAATATGTTACATATGAGAGATGTGAAGCAAATTATTGCTATTGAACATTTTATGCTATGAAACATTTTAAAAATATAAGAGTTTCCAAGGTAAACGAAATTTTGTATTTAATTCATATATGTTGTGCCAAGCCACCCATTGAAAGTCCGCCCGTTATGCTCTAAATGTTCACATGAATGTCAAAGTTCTTCATGTAAAATTTAAAGATATGCGATCAAAGAATTTTTCTATTTGATTCATGTGGGGGCTTCAAGCTCCCCAGATGAAAGTCCGCGCTTTTTCCTCCAAAATGTTCAGATGAATATTAAAGTAATTTGTGCAAACTTTTAAGAATCAAGTTCTATTAGCTTCCCAGATAAACGAAATTTTATATTTAATTTATATGGGAGGTGCCAAGTACCCCATTGAAAGTCCGCCCGTTATACTCTAAATGATCAGATGAATGTCAAGATTCTTCAGGTAAAATTTAAAGATTCTAGTTCTAATAATTTCTCAGATATACGAATTTTTCTATTTAATTCATCTGGGGGCTTTAAGCCCCCCAGATGAAAGTCCGCTTTTTTTCCTCCAAAATGTTCAAATATTCATCTGAACATTTTGGAGGAAAAAAGTTCTTCGTGCAAATTTTGAAGAATTTAGTTTCATTAGTTTCCCAGATAAACGAATTTTTGCATTTAATTAATATGGGAGGTGCCGCTCCCCTCATGGGTCGTCCGCCAATTTATTACCCAAAATGTTTAAATGGATGTTAAAGTTATTCGTGCAAAATTTGAAGATTCTAACTGTAATAGTTTCCAAGATAAACGAATTTTTGTATTTAATTTATATGGGAGGTGCCACGCCCCCTAATGCTATTCCGCCTACTTTTGTCCTAAATAATCATATTGACAATAAAGTTGCTCCGACAAAATTTGAGGACTCTAACTGTTATATGATCTCAAATATACGGATTTAATATTTTCTTAATATGGGCGTGGCTACTCGCCCACCTAGAATTTCAAAATAAAAAGTAGCCTATTACCTATTCTAGACATACAGGAATACGCTCCGAAAATTTGAAGAAAATCGGTTCAGCCGTTTAATAGTCTATAACGTTCAAATATACAAACATACAAACATATAAACATACATACAAACACACATTCATTTTTATATATATAGATTATAAGAATAAGTTTTTTTCAATATTTGTCACTTAATATTCCCATATTTTTTCAAAATTGAAATTTTAGTTGTATTTTTTTTACTCAATAGAAAGATTAGATCATTTCCTTTAAGAGCTTTGTGGTCAATTAAATTTCTATTACCTATATTACTTCTCAAATTTTGCGAATTTTTAACACATTTTTGTAACTCTTTTCTGATTACGCAGAATTCCCACACAATTTCACGGGTTTAACAAATCTCTGAAAATCCCGGAATTGTTAAACTTGCGTAAAACACTAGTTATAAACCCAGCAAAAATAAAACGAAGTACTTCCAAAAGATGTTATTCTTTTGGAAGTACTTTATCACCACTTCAAAAGTAGCACTAATTGATTTTTTTTAGCTTCTGAGGAAGTGATGTTTAAAGACTTCCGAGAAGCGAAAATAATTCTATTTTTTCAATGCTTTTTTGTTCTTAAATTTTTATGGGATAAAAAATTTTATATTTCGGCTTTTGTATTAAATGTGTCAATTACCCAAATTAATGTTAATATTATTTAAGTCAAATTAGTTGTATTTTATAATACTTCCAAAAAAAAGAGCATTAATATTACTTCTTGAGAATGACTTCAGAAGTAGTGAATTTATAATCAAATAAATAGGACATCCCTCTTATGACAAGCCTGTGTTAAATTCTACTTCTTTTTCGCTTCTTTGGAAGTTCTTTTTTTGCTGGGAACAAAATGATAAATTGGATATCCAAAACGAACATTATTTCTAGATTTGTGATTTTAAATAGAATTACTTGTTTTATGAAAATAATCAGTTTTGTCATGATTCTGTAAAGTTAGGTCCATAATTGAACCAAACCCCCCATAAAACGCCCTTTTCCTAAAATCATCCTTATGCTCATTTTAACAGCCATATACGGGGATTTTTTAAGATAATTCAACAAAATTTGGTATATGATCTTTTGTAGCACCAAAAACGAAGACTGTTGAACATTTTTGAAATCGGTCTTATTTTACACCTCGCCGCCATACAAACGGACCCGCAAATATCACTTATTAGCTCATAATTCTGTTAATTATAATACTATCACTTCAAAAATCGGCAGATCTAAAACTACTTCTAATTACTAGTATTTATGATAAAAATTGGCACAAATAATTGTATGAATAAAAATCTCACCCCCAAATTTAATTAGGATCGGTACATATTTGACCCTTAGTCGCTATATAACTCCTGTTTTTTTATTTTTATCTATAAATTGCTTAAACATATATATAGTTTGGCCATGTCCGTCTGCTCTTTCCAACTGTATTTGTATATATATATATATTTTAAAAATATATATTTTATAACCTAAAAAAATCAAGAGAAAAATCGGTCACATACGTTGAGTCACGTACGATATTCAAAAATGTTCATTATAATATTATATATATATTTTTTTATTTAAAAATTATAGATTATGAATGAAAAATATGTCCCATAGTGTAAGAAATTAAAACAAAAAGGATACATCTACAGAATTCGCAAATTTTTGTAAATATTTACATGGACTTTAAAAACACATCCGTTGTCGCCACGTATGATATCGCCATATTTTGGAAAACAAGGTTCCGAATGGGATGATTCCTTTTGCTAATATCGTATTCTGTGAATAGAACAGAATGACAAAATTGTTTTCCAAGTACACCTATTTTTACAAAATCTATGCCACTCTGAAAGCGTACGAAAGTCACACATGGAATTGCCCATATGATAATACGATTCAATCGGTTCAAAATCATCAAATTTAAATAAATATATATATTTTGTTATCTAGTTGCAAATAATTTCTAAAGGAGATTTAGGAAACACATTATGCGAAATTCCTCACATGGGAAACATAATCATTTAAGTGAGTTACATTTTTTTAATATTAATATACATATTTACTTAATTAAAATTAATATGTATGTAAATGTAAACAATTCATAATTACATACATACATTTAAATATCAAATTCTCATACATACGTTTCTTTGGCTTCGATGGGGAATCACTGATTTGTGAGTATTTGTGACGTTGACGAGTCTTTTCTGAATTGACTTTTAATAATAGTTTCATAATTAAATTTTAACATTAAATTCTATTACTCGAAATTCAAGTTTTTGTAAATGCAGAACAATTTTTTTAATTTGTTTAGCAAACAAGTTTGTTTGAAAACCGTTTTTTTAATTATTCTTTATTATTTTACAATATTAAAATTACTAATTTACAGTAATAAAATTAGTTTTTTTTTCAACTCAATAATATTTGCAACAGACACGTTCTAACACGAAATACTTTTGCCATAAATTAATTGCAGTTTTGATTTTTTTTTTCAATACAAATTTCAAAGTAGGTAAAATATGTATGTGCATATGTAAATCGTTAATACTTTGTTTGCTTGTACTGACTGGTTGATTAAATATCAATATTTTCTAATAGTAATTGTGTTTGTTTGCATTTTAATTTATTTATTTTATTTATATTTCTTTTAATTTGTATGAGTCGCTGTTTGCACTTTTACATTGTTATTAGTTGGTCATTTTGTTGTCTGAATGATCATAAAGCTTCAAAGATGATGGGTGTGACGTTTTCTGTATTTCTTTTTATTATTTATTCAGAAATTTCAATAGAATTCCACTTGATGACTGATATCACATTCACCAACCACATACGAAATTATCCGATTGAAATTTAACTCAAATCAAGTTTTAATTCAATTACAATTAAAAATTATTATTTAATTTAATAAAAAAAATATATATATATGATGAGAGTGCAATATGTTCGAATAACGCGATCTTTGCCAATTGTACACTGAAGCGAATTTAAAAACGATTTAACTTTTCGATACAAGTAATTTGTTGATAAATGACATTTTTGTTTAACCGGCGATTAAATTATTGTGGTGCTACTCGACGATTGTTGCGATAACAGACGCTGGACTACACGTTTACTACTAAATAAAAGTTGTATATCTTTTTTTGTTTTGTTTTTGTTTTTACAATTTAAATAAATAATATATATTTATGTACCTAATAATATACATACAACGAGAGTGTGGGGGACGACTCAGTGAGAAGTATTTGTTTCGGGTTTTTTCAGGTCTGCTTGGTTCTTTTTAATATTATTATTTATTTTTTGTTTTGGATTGGTTTATTCCCTGTACTCTTTCATAAGTCAGTTGAGTGAGTAAACAAGTTACTCACTCTTTATTTTGTCGTTGTAGTGACATGAATGTCAATTGCGAATACAGTCCTTAAAAATAATTTATTCTTTTAACTTGCGTTTTATATTAACATACTTTTTTATCTTTAACTTGTGATGGGTTTCAACACAATTTTACTTCGTTTTAGAAATATTCCATAATACCGAGTAACAAATCCTACAAATTATCCCATCAGATTTCTTCAGTATTTATATATTCACATAATTATCCCATTTGCCCGACTAAGGTTTATCACGTAGGATCTTATTCCCTGACTAGAAAACGAAAAAATAGGTACTATTATTATATAGTAACTCCACTACTTTCTTTCAAAGATATTTTTTGGAATTTTAGAAAAAGTATTGCTTCTCTTACAGGCAATATATGTTTAGTAAAATAATTGCAATTGAAACCAATCGATTTTGATTTGAGCCGATGAATTTATCTGTTCAGATTACAGCTGTAGTTGTACTTTTCCATAATTAGTCGTTAGCTGGCCGAAAGTTGAAAAATGTATGTATCTCTTCGTATTGTATATCTTAGCCTCTCTCAATAAGTTATAGCTTTCATATTCATATTTATTGTCTTTGGGATTAATTTTGTAATTTCCCGGGATTCCGGGAATTCATGTCTAGAACAAATTATTAATTTTAAAGAATTAATAGCCGCCATTAAATTAAAAAAAAAATCGTATTCATTTTGAAATATGTACTCATACACACATATGTAAATATTAATATACAAATAAAAAAGCTAATAAAAATTAAATGAAAAAGAGCAAAAACGACACGATTTATACTGTATTGTATATTACACCGTCCGACAAAATGAGAAAAAATTTGTTAAACACGAACGGTAGAAAAACTGCGTTTTTAGTTTTCCATTTCATGATCCTGTGTTTCTTTTTAAAGGACTTCAAAGTTTTAAAAAGATAATTTTTCAATAAATATTTTAAAATACTTCTATTCATCAAACAATGCCAAATTTTTAAAGTATATATATTCTGGATCCTTATAGGTAGCGGAGTTGATTAAGCTATGTTCTGTCTGTCTGTCTATCCGTCTGTCTGTCTGTCTGTCTGTCCGTCTGTGTGTTTGTTGAAATCAGTTTTTAGAGGACCCCAGATATCGGCTAGATCCGAATCTTCAATAATTCTGTTAGACATACATTCGAGAAGATCGCTATTTAAAATCAGCAAAATCGGTCCATAAATACCGGAGATATGAGCAAAAATCCTAGTCAAACTCTGAAAATTTCATAAAAAAGACAAATTTTTCCATGCTTTGATATAAGCAACAACAACAACACTGCTTATTCAATGAGTATTTCGTTTCATATGTTTGGATGGCTGTGTGTTTCATTGGCTTGAGTATATTGTTTTTGTTTTGCGGTGTATTCAGTTTCGTATGTTTGGATGTATGTTGGTTTCATTGCGTTGTGTATTTTGTTTTTGTTTCTTTGTGTATTTCGTTTCGTATGGTTGGATGTCTGTTGGTTTTACTGCCTTGTGTATTTTTTTTTTTTTTTGTGTTTATTTCGTTTAGCGTTGTTGTTGTTCGTTTTTTTATTGCTATAATAATGATATAAACGGGAAAATGAAATAAATTAAAATTTTATAGAATTGATATTTTTTAAATACACTGTGGTGAAGGGTATATAAGATTCGGCACAGCCGAATATAGCATTCTTACTTGTTTTTATTTTATACTGTCAGGATAAAAAGATTTCAAAAATGTCTTTTAAAATTTGTATTCTTTAATATCTTTTTTCAATATTAGGTTTTCAATATTAGTTTTTCAAAAAATGTTTGAAATACATTTTTCATATCTTTTGATCCTGAAATTGATTTTACAAATCTTCTTGGTCATTTGACATCAAATTCGAATAAATATTTATAATTTTTTTTTAATGTACTCCTTTTACAGGGAAACAGGATCACGAAATAAAAAAACGGTGAACGCAGTTTTGCTTCATTCAATCTTTTGTTTCAGACTTATAATATCTGGTTCGTGTCTAATTTTGAGCGTCGGACGGTGTTATAATATAAACGTTAATTTAGTATACTTAATAGCCCAGGAAAATTATGGTTGTGCTCAAAACCCGACTTTTAAGTTCGAAAATTTAAAAAAATATTTAAAGATAACATCTGATTTTAATAAAATTTGGTGGGAATATTGCTCTAGATATGTGGATTGTATAATACTAATCATATACATACATATGTATATGACCTGTGATTATATCTGAAATTATGGATAGACAGACATTGCAATATGGATCGAAGAGCGATATTGAGATGAACCTGTGTATAACAGTGCATATACATATTAACTAACTCCTACTAACATATGAATGGTTATGGTTAACATTATTAAACCCTACACCACTATAGTGGGGAGGGTATTATGCGTTTATGCTGCCCAAAAATATCGGTCCTACACACACCTTCAAGTATACCAATCGAATCGAATCAGAATCTTTTTCTGAGTCGATTTAGCCGTCCGTCTGTCTGTGTGTCCATATAAAGCTTGTGCGCACGCTACAGGTCGCAATTTTCAAGATAATTTTAGCCCAAGGACTCATAATTATATAAAATGTTCTAGTATGTGAAGAAAAATTGGCAAAACTTAGTTCATTTAACCCTAACCCCAATACAAACACCCCTTCAGAAAATATCTTGAAGATCAAAATTCACTTATAAACACTAATAACACGATGAAATTAATGAAGACGTATATTCCTCTATCAAAATTTATAAGGATAGGCCCATGATAGTTCCGTGGACTATTCATTCACAATAGTTAAAATTTCACAGAAAAAACTAAATATGTAAATAGTAGGACTATTTCTATAATTTTTATTAGGGTTAAATCCAATTGGTTGATGTAAAGTAAACAATTGATTTTATTCCTTTAGTGAAATCACCTCGTAAGTTCAATCACCGTAGATCGTCGATTACATTAACTAAGTTGTCAACGGTATTGTACATTGCGAGACATTTGAATGACCAATTTATTTGACGATACACATACACAGAAATATATGAACACATAATATTTTCAGTACAAAACGAAAACTTATGATTGAGATTACAAAAAGTGATGAATAAGTATCAGATGCAGGTACAAAACATGATAATAAATTGACATACAGTGGGTGTCAATACAGAGGGGACATATTCAAAGCAAGTACATCAGTTTTATAGTTAAATTATACCACTAATTTATCTATTCTTAAATGTAAATAACTAATTTAAAAAATGAAATCAAAATGAACAGTTTATATTGTTATTCACTGTTTGAAAATAAGTGTGCTAAACACATGAACACAAAAAATGTTTTTTAAATATCCCTGCCAGCAATTTTGTAGTCGACTACGAGAAAAATTCACTTCTAGTTTACTTTTACAGACTGACTATAAGCTAACTACAATGTAATGCAGAGCTGTCCCGAAATTTTGTATTTGGCCACGTAAAGAACCGACTTTTAAATACTAACTACAAGCTAACTATAATGTGATGCAGAAGTGCCTCAAAATTATCTGGAGAGAATTAATTGTATTTCAACATGTTTTCTCTTGTTTCTCTATTATTATGATTTTATTTGTTAACTTTAGTAGACTGACTATAAACGAACAACAATGTAATGCAGAAATGTTCAAAAATTTGGTATTTATTAACATAAACAACCGACTTTTAAAGACTAGCTACAAGCTAACTATCACATAATGCGGGAGTACCCCAAAATTATCTGGAGAGCATTTTGTTTCGACATGTTTTCTCATGTTTCTTTATTATTTGGAATTTTGTTTTACATTTTTTTCATTTTCTTGTATACGTTGTGAAATTAGAGTCAGTAATTTGGAAAAATTTATTATGAAAGGTTAAATATTTTAAAACTCGGTCCCTAAATTCTAAATTCTGCTGATTAATACTGTAAATATAATACATTAACAGTTAACATTACACATAACATTTTAAAATTTATTTTAGATTTGGATCAATGGGAATCATGGAAATAATGAACAAATCATTCATAATTTTATGAATGAATCCCCTGCAGAAAACTGATGTTTATTTATTTTAACGAACTAATATCATCACTTGTATTAAAGCGAAATGTAATTTAGTAGTTAGTAGTTAAATTTTAAATACATATATTTAATTAATATGTAATTAATTAATACAGTAGGGAATACAAAAGAAAACTATTACTTGACTTTTCTGCAACTAACTTTAAGTTAGTTAATAAAGAGTTACCTTTAAGCTAATTTTTTAGTAACTAACTTTAAGCTAGTTGAAAAGTCATGCAGAGTCGGACAATTGACTACTGCGTAGGACATCGCCATGTTAAAATAGTCAGTTGGCTCCATTAAAAATAATCCAAGAATCAACCATAACTAGTTGATGAAAAAGTCGGCTTTTAATGCATTTAAAGTTAGTTGAGTTGCTGGCAGGGATAGTATACATAGTACATATACATATGTATATTTTTTAATTATTTACTGCATTAAAAAAAAACAATAATAAACAACGTAGTTACTGCTTGTTTTGAATCTTAATTATTTCCAGTGAATTAAAATTAATACGTTCTTATTCCAGATCTTTAAAACTAAAGCCTGCTAGAATGCGAATGTAACAAGAATTAAGAGATAAATATTTCATGCAACTGTAACAGTTTTATTCGTTTTCATATCAAAATATTACTAAAACTTATTCGCACTAATGTCTGATTTTATGCAAACTGCTCTTCTCTTCT